GATCGGGGAACTTTCGATTTTGACCTTAAAATTTTAGTCCATATTCATGTCCCTGTCAATTTTTCTCGATTTTGGACGGGGAAAACAAATATGAGTTAAGTGTCGAATCCTACGTGCTTCGAGGCGCAGAATCGATTGCGCGAAGTACTGAGGCTCTTCAGATCGGAGCTGCCGAAGTCGAGAAACGGGTATTTTCGACCGTTTTGGTATTTTCCAGTATTTAAGTGTGTGCTCTCCCTGTCAAATTTTGACCACATGAAGGGTTTCTCTTTTCAAAAATCCAAAAAGATTGGCTGGGGTTATTTAGACTAAAATATCGGGTTCAAAATTGAAAATTCCCCGATTATGCTCAAATAACGCACTTTGAAAGAACAAGAGGCATCTGGGATTCTGGTCTAAAAAGCACCGCGAGTCCGCTGGTTCTCTTGATTGGCCAATAAGGCATGCGGGTGCATGCTCAAAAATTGTAAAGAACGTTCATAGTTACTTTAGTGAATGATCCATGAAGTTTTCGAAGATTTCTCATCAGGTTTTTTGATACGATGATACGAATGGAGAGATTGTCAGTGGATGACATTACCCTTCATTTTTTGCTAGAGGCTAAGAATGGCTAATTTAACGAAATTTAAAAACAAAATTAAAAATTTAAAATTGCTAGCAGGGTGTATTGACTTTGCAATGCTTGGGTTTTTATTCCTTTTTGAAGGTCTATAAGAGTCAACTTTCAAATCAAAACATGATAATGACAATGAGGCATTTTTATAAGAGATTATTTTTTTCCAGAGATAAAAATCTAAGAGTTCAACAAAATGTGGTCCAGCTGATTCTGGAGGAAGAAAAATTTGAAGAAATTTGGGAGTCAAAACATTAGGTAATTTAAAAAACCTGGCAAAATTGTTAAAATATATCCACTGGAGATGAAACTACAAGTACTCACTCCGAATAGCACGGGATGAAATAGATGAAAAATTTGCCGTTCTCCTTTCTATTACAAAATAGCCCATCTTTCTGATAAACGGAACTTGTTTTATTGATAGTTAATGATCGACTTTTATGGACCAGATGATGTAAAAGTATTGCCATATCATAGTATAAAAAAAATGTTGTATACTTGGGACAAATCCTATGAAACGTCCTGTGGAGACAATTAAATTATTCTTACTATTATTTTATTTTATTTTTTTCTTCCTTATAATCTAGGGCTAGTTTTCATGGGTGACAGAGAGAAAATGAGACAACCGAAATTTTGAAATCAGAAATTAATGATATAATTTCTGCAACTTTTTTACAATATAATCTAATATTAATAATTAGACATATATAATTAATTTTACAAGTTTCACGGGAAGGAGAACATACAATTGCAATTCAGCTCTAAAATTCAATTGAGTAAAAACAGCATCATCTAAAATCGTTTTCTAATGCATCATGATTAAAACATGACCTTCAAGACAAATAGGATGAGAATTCGTTGCAATTAATTCATTCTCTGGAGTAACTAACACTTTTACCTGAATGTACAAATAATTGGATTTCGTTGCTTTCCTTCAACAAATATCATTACTGAGAATAAAGCTTAACGAAAGGTTAAACTTTCTTCGCATGGTTAAAATTTACAAGAGCCGTATAATACTTGTTTCAGGAATAGGCTAAGAGTAGGAGGATCTGACTCCTAAATTTTGAGGGGGATAGAAAGAAAAGTAAGTACTCGACAGATAAATATAAACTCCATTTCTTGAGTTATTAATGGAAAAAGTTAAGTAATTCGCACAATAAAATGGCTGAATAGGATTGCAGGATGAGTCCTGCCTAAAAATGCATGCCTTAAGTGCCCATATTTTGTTTTGTGTCTATATAAAAAGATGAAAGTGATTTTTAGTTTATATCTAACTTAAATGCCGCATTATTATTTTTTTTTTTAATACTGGCATTATCGATTGAACAGAAAATACAATTCAAAGAATAGATATAAGTAATTACAAACAATGTACACTAGATCAAGTAATAGTTTCCGTGGTTTATCAAACGTTCATTTAAAATACAAAGTTATCTACTAAAATTTGATTAAAATTGACTAATATGAAATAAGTTAGATTGATACTCACCAAGGATTCCTTTTTCTTTTTATCTGAATGAAGAAAATCAATAATTGTACAAGGATCCTTAAATCAGACTTGATGGTCAGTTTCAAATTTAGGATTTACAGCCCAGCTATAAAATGTTTAACAAATTAACACTGATGAACTCTTTTCTTTTTTACAATGAAAAGCTCAGCACTTGAAATGGAGCTGAAGGCATTCAAATAATGCACAGCGCTGATTGGTAAAAATTAAACAAAGAAATAATTCAACTACAGACGTGGAATAATGACCACCATTATTTAAAACGAAAGCTAGAGCTTTAAAAACGCAAGCTGACAAAAAATAAATAGGCAGAAAAAAAGAAGAAACTTTAAGAAGTTACAAACTTCAAAATGATAAAACATAATACAGGAACCTCTTAACAAGAAAATTTTCACAGAACATTCCAAACTTTAGTTTTAAAAATGGGCGACAATTTCTTAAGCCTCTAAAATACCAAGGTGTATGGATTGATCGGTAACATTTTCATAAATAAAAACTGTACACAATTAATTATTGTTTGGAGAACCATTGCAGATAGTTTCAACTGCCGATGTTGAACATAGCACAGTTGAAACTTGATCACCGAGCTCTGCGCTCCTGATGTCATACCATATTTTCATGAACCAATTTAAGTTTCTTTTGAAATAGATGCTGGAGAGAATAGGAGCGTTAACTTAATACTAAAAGATAATCAACCACCAGATATATAAATGCAATCTGTTGCATGAGACCAGCCATTTTATTTGTCAAATTACTTATCTCACTTGCGGGCGACTCGAGAATAGTCGAGAATTTACACTCCCAAATCACCCAACAATTCTATTTGACTATTCTTTCACCTACTTGAATTATGTGCCCAAGTTCGGGGCGGTTATCTTTTCCATAAATGCTATTGTAGAGAATAATTCATTCTTGTGTAAAGCTGCTCTATCATATCTCAGTCTGCACTATTTACGTAAATCATGAAGAACAATTCTAATTAGTTAGAAATTTGGATCACAAGTATGCACACTTTTAAGTGACTTGAAGATTCACTTTAGCCTTTGCTAAAGTTTGTAAGGTACAACTTAATCGAAGTCAAATCTAGTTTCAGAAAATCTTCTAAAAAAGATAGAATTGATGGACTTTTATCATGAAATATTTATGTTACAAATGGGTTGAAATTTCTCAATAAGATTTACTGCGAATTATTTGAAAATTTAGTTCAAGCTTCATGAAGTAATGCATTTGCAAATAAAGGTTAACTGTTTACCATTGATACTGAGACATTAAGACTCATAGAGTATACTTCTGCAAGAACAGTAAGTTGCTGATGCATAGCTTCACCTGTGTCATTTCATAATCGCAGAGATTCTTTTCTACTGGGCTGATAAAATATTTGAATACCTACAGGACCTAAAATATTACTTGTTTCATGGAGTGGATAGTTCCATAACGAAATGATTCTTGCTGGCATTTTATTTTAAATGCAGTGGACTCATACATTTTATTGAAAACTCAAGGAAGAAAGTATACATTTTTTCGGATTTGTTATGATCCATTACCATTCAACTATGATTGGTAAATTAATACATTTTAATTGACCCTATTTTGATGTTCCAGATACTGAAATTTTGCAGAGCACTAATTTTTTCTGTGCAGAAAAAAGGTTGGACACTCAAAAGAATATCAGAAATATCCTTTTCAGGGGAGCAGTTCTTGGGCAATTGTCTAGAGTGTGCCAAGGGGTCTTCATTTGCAATACTAATGGTGACAACAGGTCCACAGAATGCTTGGAAAGAGAAGAACAATCGAAAAAATACATCAGAATCAACTTGTAAAAATGTTACAAAATGTTATACCTTAGACTACCAAAATTGGTGAGACCCAAAATTTCTTTCACCCCTTATATGCCGATAAAAAAAGAAGACAAAGTTTGATGGGCGATATCGGACAAGTTTGCTTTGTTGATGAGTAATTAGTTCTTAACTAACTTTCCTGCACTATTGTATGCGTATGGATCACTGAGAATTGTTGAAACAATATTCTTCGCACAATGATGTTTTGGTGAATAAAACAATTTTGATGTCAGATTTTAAAAAAAAACAAAAAACAATAAGAATTCGAAGTTTATACCGAGCACACAAGATAAAGGCTGACTAGTACAATTAAAAAAGCGGTAGAATGACAGTACAATTGATACACTCATGCATTTTAACTTTTGACCTCTTTTTTGCATCATCAATGGTAAATTTTGTGCAAAGTCATTGAGACGCACAGACTCACATGTTTATCACTACAGCTGGGGCCACACAAATAATTCTTTAAGATGTATCAAACAGCTTGGTGGATCCAAATCGGTAGTGCGGGGGGTTTTAATACAAAACCGACGAAATAATCTAAGAAAAGGATCACAAGCCTTGGGAAGTGGGTTAGTGGCATGACTCTCCTGAATTGTAATCTCAAAAAGATCATTAGCGAAACCTAAAATTCATCTCTGTAATCACCACTGCTTTTACAATCACTGCCAAGCCGCAAAAACGAAAATTAAAGAATTACATCAGTAGATGATAGCATTTTTTATTACTCTTCGTAACTAAAAAACAATCTTAAACATAGGCAATTGTCCAAATGAAAAAATGAGATTCACTTGTAATACCTAATTCAACGCAAAATAAAAGGACTTTTAAGGGAGTGAAAAGCAGATGTAATGGCAAATGTGGAAAAAAAAATATGTTCCAAATCACCATCATAATGAGTCTATTTTGAGGTCACTATTCAAAAAAATTATCCTGCAGGGCTGTCCACCAGTCTGGATCAAAAGCTAGTAATCTGCACATTTCATTTTATACGTTTATAAACTCAAAGAGACCTTTGGAATGTATTTTTAAGTTTAAATTTGGTGTGTAGGTGGCAGCACCTCATATAAGTTATTTTCACTCTTGGAGAAAACTCTATGATTGATGAAAAATGTTTATACACTTGTTTGTGTTCAATGATAAATCATCAAGTAAATTGGTAAATCCTCATGGCTCATGACAAAAAAAGTACTTGAAGAAACACATTTGCAAAGGCAGAGAGAGATAATAAATGCTCAAGCAAATAAAATGTTCATTATTGTTTGGAACATCCTCCTTGATTTTCCCTCTTTTTTTAATCCTTGGTTGTTTTGTGGTCACAAAATATACACCTTGGCAATCCACAAAGATGACCAGATACTTAAACTACCTTTCAATAATTTTGTAACATTTTAAAACTAGATCCAGACTTCAACCAGTGATATTTACAAGCTGGTACACAGCCCCAATATGAATGCCTCATTAATTACCTAAAAATACACATTTAAGAAGTTGCATAAATACAAATCATGAAAACGATCTTCATCCATGAAAACAACTTGAATCTTGGTTAAATTTACAGGTCAATAGGCAGTATTTCTGAGGCCAATACTGGTGAATTAGTTTTAAACGACGTACATGAATTTGCTGACAAAATATGAGGAAACTCGTAACTCTGCCGGCAAAGGGACTTAACTACATTGTGAGATGAGTCCTGTTGTGCGTATATCACCATGATTTGAGGGGTTCAAGAGGAGAGAAAGTTACGCCCTTCTGTCGGAAGAGTGACGAAATATTGGTATTGATAAGGAATCGAATTCTTAGTAACAAAATTATGGATCGTAACGATAAAATTATGTTTCCCAGAATGAAACAAAAAAATAAGAGAAAGGAAAAAAAGAGTAATGAACTTTAGAGCACGGTTAAAAATTATAAATAATTAACAATTAGTCTAGATGAAATCACTTAATTTGTCTACTCGATAAAGAATAACAAATTTGGTATCTGATAATCTAATTTTACATCTTCCTCAAAACAGCTTAATACTCATGTTACTTTTGAACAAATATCAACATATTTAAAACAAATTAAATTGAACAAAAATAATTGTTTGTTGATTAAAAAAGAAAGAACACAGATGGAAAAAGGAGAAAAATTAGAAAATAGAAAAGTAATAAATAATTAAATGCACCTTGAAATTTAATCGGCACTAAAGGGGGTTCTTCCCGTGCTGAACAGGGTATGATAAGTATGGCAAGTTTGAAAACTTTAAAGTACAATATTTAAAAAGGGAAAACAAAGATACCTAAGCCGAATTAAGGAATCTTAGAGCAAAGAAGGCAAAGTCGGTTTTGCTGATGAGCCCTAGATTAGATAAGAATACTAGCTTTGTGGGGGTGATCACCAAAACAGATTTTGCACCGTTTGCTTCAGGATGCTTCAATGCTTGATTGGTATCACTGAAATAAGGTATGAACTTGTGGGTTGCATTTTTAAGTAAAAACAAACATTAGTAACAAATCTTATAATGAGATCCAGTAAGCCACTTTTTATTTATTTTCATAGTAATGAGTTATCATTAGAAGAAGTATCTGACAGTTGAACGTTAGCTGGAGGTGCTCCGGGAGATTGAGCATTCGAGCTGCCAGTCCGTCGTTTTTCTTTTGTGCCTTTGGTTTTCTTAAGCATTGTTGCCTGAAACACGGTTGAAATTTCACAAGATTAATGAACCAGTGAATGTTACCATTGTAAATGATTTAATGAGGCCAGTTCAATATTTTTGGAACCTAGGGAAAAGGCGGTAAGTTTTTTTTTTTTAAAAAAATCAGCTTCACAGAGATGAAGGACGTTGAAAGTAAAAATACCCCTACATGGTTCCTGCATGTTAGTTAAATATTACCTCCGTAAAAAATACCAAACTAGTTGAATTTAATTATAATAGTTCTTCATCATCCAAAATCATTATACGACCACACATGTAGTCGACCACAAAGAGCACAAATTTTGTTTGTTTCAAAAAGTATCCAACTTCTAAGTTTGAAAAGGTTCATTCTGCACCCTTAAAAGCCCAAAAAGTCTAATGTTTCTGGCTGCAGAGCTCTTGTGGGGAGCTAAATAACATGTGTCAAAACATAATTCACTTGCCGAGAATTTTCTGTAATTTGTGGTTGAATTTTTTTTTATCCTTTAATTTGACATTTCTTAAAACAAGACATTCAACTATCATGGGGCTTTGAAACAGTGTCAGTGCATTAATACAATAAATTAATATCAATGGAAAACTTACAGAAGTAAATACAACCTCCAGTTGAATCTACCAAATATTGTGTTCAGAAAAAGAATCTTTCGCCAAACTCAAGGAATGTGCATTCGTTCATGAGTCATGGTCGAGTGATGAAGGAATATATTTGTACCAATGAAGAGACAAGATTTTCAAGATATACATTTATTTAGATGTTGTACTAATGTACTTAGAAGGAAGATAAGTGGCAGCAAATATTCCCACCGCCTATGCGGCTCAGCCTTTGAAAGAGCCTTCCTCGGTAGGAACATGAAAATATTTTAAGATATAGGCAAATTTTCTCTACGAAGAGGGGTCCTCTTGCGGCAATATTGTGGCAACAATTTCAATGAAATACACCAAATTTATTCCCAACAATACTTTCACAAAATTGCTACAGAATATTCTCTCTATGGATAGTTATGTTGTTCTGTATAGCTACCACAATTGTTTAGAACTTTCAAAACGATCTCAAGTATTAAAAGGGCAATCTCCGGCTATGTAAATTTACAGCAAAAAGTGATAAGCCTGAATTTTGAATTCTAAGATAACTTTGAATTATACCACCTTCATTAAAGATTTTCTAAAAATATTTGAAGAGACGTCTTTAAAGTAATTTTGGGGCAATTTTAATGCCTACTTTAGAAAGTAGGTGCATATGTTGATTGGCAACCATGCTGGGGTGTATGCATATGACCTTCCTTCCTCAGAGTATAATAAGGAATGGTCAACAGCTGTTATAAAAAGCCGTGATAGAGCCATGCTAGTGCGAGTGCTGGGTTTGACATATTCAATATTATTCCTAGAAGGAGAGAGCGGGTTAATCCTGAACAAAACTAAGGGAGGGAGGTGAGAGGCAAAAGGATCCAGAAAGATCCCTCCAAAAATTCTCAATACGAAGAACTGAGATATCTCATTTATTGGTAGGGGCACCGTTGGAAGGGCACTCTGTCTCTGTACTTCCACTACAAACAATTTTTCATTTCATCACTTGTCTAAGATTTAATCTCGCATATTATGATGATAAGAAATCGTGTGAGAATCTTGTACATGAATGAAATGACTTCCAGATGAAAGGACCAAAAACTGAAATAACGTTAGAAAGCAAACCTGATGGTGGCAAAAATACTTGAAGTTTTGCTCCTCAAAGGAACTTCGATGAAAGATGAGAAAACAAAATCGCATGCAGTCTACAGCTACTAGTTATTATTTTTAAAGAGTCCTCTAAGTGAGGACTTCAAAAATAAAATGGAAAAATACGAACTGGTTTTCTAAAGCGGGGCCGGATTTAAGGAGGGCCACATGGGCCGAGACCCATGCCCGTAAATTTTTGGTGGCAGCTAGTTACATAGATGCTGCTGCAGATTTAAAAACTGATGACCTATTTTTTTTTCTCTTGCTTTACAAAGGTCATCACCCATATAATCTAGGGTTAGCAAACTTTTGCGTGTCCAGGAGCCGCCCTGGTGAACTAATAATCAGAATAGTCATTGAAGGTAATGACTTTAATGAGGGAAATTCTTTCAATCTTAAAAAAGTGAACACTTGAGTAGATACTTACAGAATATTTGTCCTAGAAAACAACTCAGTGTTTAAAAATCAACACACCACTGTATTTTGTTTATTAACAGAATGCAAGTTCCATTCATTATAATAATTTTTTAAACCCCAATGTTGTGCCCTGAGGCAAATACCATTGTCTCCTCCTTAAAGGAATGCATCTCGTCTGCTCTGTTTCAATATTTCTACGAAAATCTTATTTTTTATGGAAGTAACATTGCACAAATTAGTCTGGAAACTTCTCAGTTTTTTAAGACAAAGGTGTAGAAAAATCACTAGAAATTTCAGAAAATTTTTTGTAATGGTTCTCCTATAAACAAATGCTACGAAAATAAATAATGCTAAAACAACGCAATCGAGACACAATCCTCCCAGGAATAGTAAAATGTGACTTCTTTTGTCAAAGTGTGGAGCACATCGAGACATTCCAGACATGAATTTGAGTTTTCAGGAAATTTAATGAGCCTGAAACCCTCAAAAGATTTTTCAAATTTTTGAAAAGTAAAGTTGAGACAGGAATGGATACATGTGTGTGAGGAACTCTATTTGAAGCAAGAGGTGATGCAAAACAAAGTTTGCTTGCAATCCTAATTTTGAAGAAAAAAAGAAAAGAAAATGAAACGAAATAATAGATCTAAACTACATGAAAACAAACGAAAAGTATTCTTATAGTGAACAGTTAAGTAAGTGAAATGAAAAAGAGATGTAATGAATTTTCACCATCACTTGGCGCCTGCGTAACAGGAGGTATGCTCGGCTCAGTGTTACGACGCTTCATTTTAGATTTCTTCAGCATCGTTGCCTGAGAGATTAACAAAAATTTGACCGATTAGCCTAAAGTATTTTTAAATTTTGACAGATAGAGAATCATTTTGATCTCGTTGTGTAAATCATTGAAAAATTCATTTCAGCATCAAGAGCAGAGCTCGATACAAGACTTTACTTTTGTCTGCGGCCACACTAAGTGTTTGCGATCCTTCTACAAATGTACTATTGCCTTTTATAAAATAAAGACACAAAAATCTCCCTGAGATTTTACCTTTTGCTTTGAGAAAAGAAAAAGAAACAAACCTTCACATGAAAAGCAGACAGAGATTCAACCAAATTTTGAGTTAATGGTGAGATAAGACGGGTGAAGGAAGGCGAGATGTAAATTGGAAAGATAAAATTTTAGATTCACTTGGCAAAAAGTGATAAAAACCATAATCAAAAACTAAAGACATTCTGATAGACAGAAGAGCTGAATCAAGACATTAAATGACATTCATTTCAACAATTTAAGTACACCACATTTTATTCAACATAAATTCATATTTCAAATAAATGAAGACACTAGAGAGAGAGAGAGAGACAGAAAAAAAGAAACAATGAATGCATGCAGTCAAATTTAAAAACAGCACAGCAAGATGATACCTATTTAATTAGTTTTTCACTTTTGAAAAAAAATTCTTGGGATCCAAGTAATACATTTACCTTGAGGCTTCATCACCACAATATCAAAGAGTCAAAGACATATTTTTGTGATCTTATTCTCACTACAGTAAAATTTTAGCTTTTATGTAAAGTGAGTTAACTGCTGTTGCATAGTTATCAGAAATTTTAGAATTCCGCAGAAATGTAACTTATTCATGCAGTATGAAGAAAGGAGGAGCAAAATCTTAAGACCAAAGGAGACCCAAAATTTGACGGAAAAATTTAGAGGATAAATACATGAAGAGTTATTTACTTTCACGATAAGAGGTTCAGGAAGTGGAAATATGGTTGCAAACCCCTAATTTTAAAACTTAATTTCCGGTAAATAAATTTAATTGACGTTATGGGGAGTGTTACATCATTCAATGTCAATTGGTACTTAAATGGATGAAACAAAAAATAACAGCATACTTTGAGAGTAGGATGTAATTCGAGAGAAGAGTATGGGGATCACAGTGCCATCATAAACGTTTGTCACTCAAGGAAATTAAAGATTGATGCAGAGCCTATTAGCTAAAAATGACTTGGTTAACTCCACATCATTACAATTTCAATTTTATCTTTCTTTGCCTCTTTTTGGTTGAATTCGAGGACTAAGGCTTTGAGTTAGTAAACTTCAAACAGCAAAAGGATATGAATCAAAAGTGAAAAAGATGGATAGTTAAAGATTAACTTCAAGAGAATGAAAAAATGAGTGAATATTTTAGATTTCGATTTGCGATGACCCAAAAAAGAAGGACCTAACGAACTTAGAATTTTCAAAATTAATTAATCAAGCAAAAAGATGTTACGAATAGAAAAAAATAACGAACATACTTATTACAGAACGGTAAACATGATATGGTTTGTTCTGGTAATGTGTCTAATGCTTACCTTGAGGGCCGATTTCAAGACAACAACGTAACCAGGACTGGCAACCCATGGTTCACCATCCACTTGCACAGGCAATAGAGAATTGAAAATAATTTTTATGTGACCTCCCTGAAAATAGAAAATTGAAAAATTCATGTTGAATATAAAGTCAATGTCATACGTTTTGGATAAACATTTAATTTAAAAAAGGTTGAAAATATCTATTAAAAGGTGAAATAGATGAGCGGCAGTTCTTGAAAGCCAGAATATTTTATATTTTGATATATCTCAGAAAGAAAAAGCCCTAATGACAAAAAATTGCAGCTCAAATATTTTGGATCAAATATACAGGGCTTCTACTTCGAGTCGACTTTCAAATTTCTTGTATTTTTCCTGATTAATTGCAGAAAATGCCTTTTTACAATTCATTCATCACAGAAATGTAACAAAATCACTCTCCTGAGGTTCTGATAGCCGTCAACTCAAAAAACTATCTCTGACTTTTAAATTTCTTGTCTAATTTCACAACCACACAAGCTTACTCAAAAAATATTGGGCTTAAAAATGTTCAAAAAGATAAACTTTCCACTTGAAAAAGCAAAAATTCAGGAGTAAACGTCAAATTTTCTGGGTTTTTCCTGGTCTCCTCTTAAAATTCCATTCCCTGAGTTTTTCCGGTAGTAGAAACCCTGAATGTGTTATTGAGAGTAACGGCAGAATTTGGGGCATCTTTGCAATTTATGAAAAGAACTGAAAAAATACCTGAGCGATACGAGTGGCTCCTCGAATGCCAGACTGAATTTGTCCTAAATGAACAACACCAGTGACTCCAACAACTTCGAGGACTCCATCCCAGTGATTTGGAGTTGTGAAGCGTTCTTCTTTGTCTGGTCCCCAAGGGTTAGCACCCGAGCCCCAACTTAAAATGTTGAGAATTATAAGGCCTTCGAGCTGTGGCAGTTCGATTACTTTTCCGTCAACTTCCAGTCGAACCTCTCGATGCAAGTCTTTGCATTTGTGCCCGACCATCTTCTTTAAACCCATTCGTACGTACACAGTCTTATTGTGCAATCTGCAAGGAGACAAAACGAATTTGAACAATTTGTGGCAATAAATGAGAATTATAGAATCTTGTTAGATTCTTATCAGGGTTTTTTATTAGGTTTATTCATGAAAATGCATAAAATTATGCAATATCATGGTTCTTTCTTTTCTACGGTCAATTTGAACAAACTGCCGACTTTGTAGCTGTAGCTATGTACTCTTCAGCTTTTTGTTCTGTGTAGCTCTTTCACTCACATACCCTACTTGTTCATTTAGTTAGTTTGATAATATGCTAAAAATCATCATCACTTCCTGCAACAATCCGACCATGGACTCTAAAATTTGATTTCTAAGAGCAAAAGTGAATCTATTCATTTTATTTTTCACATCTTATATTTATGTACGTTTCTTTATGCAGCTTTTTTTAAATCACATTTCTACAGTGAAACTACAGGAACATGGTATCAGTTTTATGACTCACAGTTTTTTACCTTGTTCTTTTCTGTTTTTCCCGTTTGGTGCTTATCATTCAATGAATTGCAGATTTTGTGAATTGCAATTCAAATCGATTGCAAATGAGTTTTATTTGATTTGTAGAAAGTAATTCTGACTTTATTATGATAATTTGTCTTGAAAAAAGGTTTTTATTTTTTTATTTTTTTTCTCACTCGCTTGAGTTTACAATTTTATCAATATTTTTTTGTGACAGGAAGCAACTAAAAGAATACTAAAAACAGATAAAAATTGTACAAAGCTACATACCTGCTATTAAACTTGTCTGGATTTTCCTCCCTAGCATTGTGGAAGTCTAGGCATAAATCCGCGTCCAACCCAATTCCAAAATAGTTGTTCATGACATACATCTGAGAATTATCCTCACTGGTAGAACCTTCAGGACAAACAGATGAAGATACTCTTTCAGAATGCGAAAATGATTTTTGGCCTCTCTAGCTTAAAAATATTTCTCAATGTACTTTTCACTCCATTTTTACCTAACGTGACACCAGGTACTTATTCACAAAAATTAGGTAATCTTTTGGAATTTCTAAACTAATACCACAAGAAGCCCATCTCTTTTGATTTTTAATGTTCGCATATTGTTTGATACTAATAGACCACTGGGTGCAAATTCTGAACAGTTGTTTTGTTGTTTCTTATTCTCCGACTACTTTCAGAAATCAGAGGCAATTGAAATTCTGTGTTGGGTACTTTTAAAGCTCCATTTGAGCTTTTAAGGTGCATACATCTGACAACTGAAAAATGAGGGCACCAATAATATGTAAAACAAGGATCTAAACATTAAAAAATGAAATAATCAAAGACTTACTAGGAACAACGGCAGGATTTGGAACTTGAGGCTGAGGCTTATCATCATCAGAATGAAAAACCACTGTCCATCTGTCCAGTTTAATTTCTTCCGCCTCAATGACATCTTTCAGCAAATTCAGCGGATCTTCACCTGCTTTGTAGCCAGAGCCCCATCGCAGAACTCTTGCTAGATCATTACCTTTAAAAGAATAATATTAATAATAGTTGCAAGTAATTTTAGATAACAATAGTCACATGAATCTAAAGATGAAGTTTATTTTTCCACTGCATAGCAAACGAAAAAATCTCATGGATTCTTTTCCATTGTTATTGTTGTTTTCTTTCATGGCAGTAGATTAATGATCTGCAAAAGTTGCTACAGTAAAAAATGTGATGTAACATAGTGCATCATTTAAGTTTCAAGATTGCCAAAAAAACCGAAATGAGGGTGCTGAGTTGCCAATTGAGGAAATGAATGGAGTTTTTTTTTTTTGTAAACTTTCAGCACTGCTCATACACGATACCTGAATATTCTCCTCTTTAAAATACCTTTCTGTAGCATAAAATACAGTACACAGAAAGGCAAGCCTTCATTTCGATGCTCGACTGGAAATTATGCGAACAGGGTGTCTACTAAAACAGGCTGGCCTAAAATCAGTACTTTTACAGTACTTTTCCAGTACATTCCCAAGAAATTCAGTACCTCCCCGTAAGAGAAATTCAGTACTTTTTTAGTACCTCCAATTGACGAAATTCAAAAATTTTCAAAAATTAGAATTTCTCGCTCGAATTACGACAAAAATGACAAAAATTCCCGACCTTATAGCAAAATTCCGCACTTTTTCAGTGCTTCCGAACCGCCCTTAAAAATCAGTACTATATTCGGACTTTCCAGAAATTCCGGACTTGCAGACACCCTGATGAATAACCGGGCAGCTCAGGGAGGGATTTTTTTAAAAGATTGTACCAGGTATCATGGCGAATTTGAAACAGTTTCTCATCACTGTTCATCGTACTTCTAATTTTTCTTTTAACTACCAAATTTTTCAACATCAGAGAAAGTCAGATGATATAAAATCCAATTATTAATGATTCAGTGAGTAGAGATTCAAATTGCCATTCCGATTTGTACATTGTAAACTCAGTACTCTTAAAAGGCAGAAGAAGGTGGTGGAATTTACCTGTGCCGAGAGGAACAATTGCACAAGGAGGGGAGTTACATTGAGAGTCCTGACCAACATTATCAAGGCATTGCAGAACCCATCCGATTGTGCCATCCCCTCCGCAAACCAGAATTTTGTAATGTTCAATTCGTCGGAATACGTACAAGCTGTAAAAAATGACCATGTTAAAACCAGTTAAATTGGAGAATTTTGACTACTGAAAGTTGTGGCTTGAGAATAAGCATGGTTCATGGAAACTATAGGTAAATTCAGCCAAAAGGATGATGTTTTGATCATGGAGCGTTAAATTCAGTCTAAAACTGAAATTCTTGAGACACAGAGGAGGAAAGCTGATTTGAGGACAATTCTCTCTGCAAAAGAGAACCAAACAGTTTTTGTGCCAAACAACGAATCTCTCCGGTGGAGAATGTGCAAGAAAGACATCATCCTATGCATCCTATCATGCCTATACACCCTATGCGCCTCGCACCACCTATACAGATGAAATTTCCTAACATTTATCTCTTTTACGGATACTACGCACTCAAAGTTTTCTTAAATCTTTTGCCTCTCTAAACCATGGAAAAATTAAACAAGAATGAAATAAATCAGGTTTAAGCTTGTTATCCTCGTCAACGGAACTCTTGCATTTTTACTAACAACTATTGAAGAGCAAAATTTGGAACTTACCCTGGCAAAGGACCGCCATTATCTAAATCAAATACTTGATATGGATTGAGAAGTTTTCTAAAGCTAGAAATAAGTTCCAGTCCTTGGCATCCACCAGACTTAATGTTAACGAACACTAGTAGTGGTTGCACACCAGGAGGGATCATATTGGGTTCGATGGTGGGCATAAGCATAACTAGAAAAAGAATGAGAAAAGTTCATTAATTAACAAATTCATCATTTAATTACAAAGGAAAACTCAGTTGATCTCATGTTTACCAGATCATAAAACTCTGCTCAGAAATTATCAGCTGGAAAATTTTGCACATGCACATGATCCCTAGAATTCAATTTCAAAAAGTTTCCTTTTTCCTTTTGTTATGGTGCTCCTCAATTTGTTCAGAATGATAAATCATTTTGAAGAGAATTATCTTACCGTAAAATACACTGAACTAATCTAGTATCCAATTTCACTCAAATAGGCTTGATCTATTTGGGAGCAGGAAGTTTGTGTCAATGAAAACAGATTACAATAATTTCTCATGATTGAGTTGAATTTTCAAATTCTCATGGAATCTTCGTTTCCTATTGAAAAAGTTGGTATGAAAATTTGTACCGTTATACTTGATATTCAACTCTGGTGGTGGTACTGAGCCATTGAATGATGATTCTCTGTTATAAACGCTTAATAGTTCATGAACTACTAAGCTATGCTTACGTTATTCTCATAACTAATTGGAACAAAACACATTTTTTCTTCTTTCCTCTGGTCTGTACCATCTGTCATCTGGATGGCTATTGTCTTCAAGACAACCATTAATGATGTTTTTACCAATTTCATTGATCTCTTCAAAAACGCTGGTTGATTCAGCATTGAAATTAACTGAAAAATAAAATGTAGCACGGAATATGAATGAGGATGAAAAGAAACTTACCAAGTAATTGCTTGTCTTCTAAGACACACTCTCGAAGCCTGAATAAAGAACGAACAGCTGTGGTTGTGTCTTCATAAACTATCACTAAGGATCCGTATTCATAATAAATAGGGCCTATTGAAGAAAATTTGTTTTCTCTACCTAAAAAATTGTTTAACAAATTTTCGTAGTTACGCTCTGATAAATTAGTAGGTAAATTGCCAACAAAAAGTGCTAAATTAGTTCCATGAGGATCTTTAGTTTGCTGCAAATAGAATCGCATTAACTCCATTTGCCGCAGGGATTCTTTCCCCATCTGCTTCACTATATCCCAGGGTTTTTCATCCGATGATAAAACTCGTTCAATTACTGTGAACAGAAAGAAAAAGGAATTGATTGAAAATGTGCAGTGATAATGGAGGGGGAAGTAAATTGTGAAATCTACAACATTAAGAGAACCAACAATAATTAATTTTCGTTTTCAATATTCTTTACAGAAGGAGGAGAAGGAACAAGCTCGCAAATTTTACATGAAAAACGTCAGCGGTTCCTTTAATCTATTTTAGGAAATTTGACTTTTTTAACTTCCTACTTCTCTTTTCTTTTCTTTCTTTTTCATTTAGAATTTGAAAACAATGGTTTTCTAAAAGTCAATTATGTGAATCAAAAAACAAAACTTAGGAGAAAAATTATGACACTACACACGGAAAATTTATACACTCTCTTTTTTTCACTCCTTTTCATTCATCCTGGATTGTTTGCTTTAACAAGGAATGTACTCTCTACATAAATGGTTCTTATTAAAACCTTTTATACAAAAAATGCAAAAACCGAACCATACTTTTTTCACAGATATTTGAAAACAAAATTGGGAGAACTGAGCAAGAAATTATGATCGGTATGAGAAAACTTACCTCCTCGATCAAGGGAAACTTCACTAAGTCTATAAAAATCAGGCTGCGAATTTTCAAGACCAAATTGTTCAACAGCATCATGAACTAGATCAGTAACGGTCGTATCACTGGTGACCAATACTGTGACGAAGGGAGTTGAGGTTTGTATTTTTCCTGGATAAACCCGCACTTCCCCACTATCATTTTCGGAATCCCTGGAAAAAGTAATTTACAATGTCATATTTAGCTTGAAAAACCGAGTACAAGTACTTCACCTATTTTTACGGTGAATTTGTAAACAAATTTCTTTGCTTGATTTTAGGTTCTATTTTCACAGTGTAAGCTGTGGCATATTCTATCCTGTATGCTAATGATTGGCTGTAAAATAAAAATTTTTCATTTTGACTTGATAGAATTCAACTCTAGAGAGGTAAAAGGATTTAATCTGACTGGATCATTGCCTTTGAGAGACAGAGAAAGAGAAGGAGGTTAATTTTTCTGACTTAAAATGATCATGATAAAAAAAACAGAAATAATATTTATCACAGGCATCAATGTGAATAAATGAGGAGCAAAGTTCGCAAAATTTTACAGTTGTAAACGATGATAACAAGCTTCTATCATATTAATTTCAAATATTGCACTTGATAAGTATTTTTAAAATTAATTTACACAATAACACAGTCTCAAACAAATAAAGTAGATAAACAAATGGAGGTCAAAAAGAAAACATATAAGAGGTAACTTACTTAAATCTAAGAAAGACAGCTGGCCTTTTACCCTCTTTGCGATGCAAATTCATTACAGGACTAGGATCGCATAATGCAATTTCTTCTGGTGCATAGAGGTCAGTCAAATAAAAATTAGCTAGAGGGGGCAGAAACGAAAAAATTATTACAATAAAAAATTGAAAAAAGAGGACTTAGAACCTAAATCTTCTGGAGAAAATGTTATACAGACAAAGAATAGATTTGAAAATTTTAAACTGTAAATGTATCAAAGATGTCCGGTTAAAGGTAGCAATGGTTTTTTTTTTTTGTAGCAATTGTGATATTATCGATGATTTCATGGAGCATCAGTGTTAAAATTATATTATTAATAATGGAGACTAGGGGACTTTGCTCTCCGAGTGCTTTGCAGTCCAATCCTTTGAAGCGCTTCACGTCACAGGCTTCATGTGTACACCACACTTATGATTTATAACAGGGTAAGATTGCTGCAGCTATCTAAAAAATATTTTACTGTAACTTATGAAGTGAAACTGAAGGAATACCTGGATCTTTGGTGATGTGGAATGCATGCAAAGCAGTGGTAAGAATGTGTTCAGTGCTGGCGAGCCGTGAGACAGTGATAACTCTGAAGATACGCCGTCTCAGTGAACAGTCGCCATCATAGACTTTTAGAACTTCTGGGGGGGAAACAAATTTGAAAAGTTAAAACACTGAACAAGACCTGATGAAATGAAACAAATTTCGAAATATGATAGACTTATCAGTGGTTTATGAATTTCATGGTCATCTTTCATCCTACTTTTTCTCGGTTAATTTTTCATCAGAAGTGAAAAAAATTCTCTGTCATTCACTCCTGACCTATTAAGGATTGGCATTTAAAATCAACGCACAATGATTTTTAATTCTACTTAATCAATGCCTCCCAATATCTGGTTCCAAAAACGTGTCCTTCACTTGGTACCAGATGTTTAGCATGTGTTGTAGAGCATTTGATTTAATTGATATAACAGACTTGACTGTATCTAGCCCGTGTATGTTTCATACATGGGGAAGTATTTAAAGGATCAAAGATCAAATAAGAAGAAGAGACTACATCTATCAAAGAAATGATTGGTTCCTGAACTCTTAGATCAAACATACCCTCATCTCGATCATCCTTTTCTTTTCCGCTTCTATCTCTAACGTACGTGTGCTCCTCCACATCTCGATGTCGACTATCTCCACTACTGAATTCATCAGATATACTGCGAGCTGAAAAATTACGGACATTATTAGCTAAATTATTTTTTGCAACTTTAATTACTTAAGAATAATGACTTTCCTGGATAAAGGCATCTCAGTTTGCTGCTTTGAGTCATGGCGGAGCAAAAAAATTCAGAATGCTTGCAAGCAAGCATGACTCCGATGGTGAGTGCATTCCTCACATTTTTAATCTTCTAATAGACACAGATAAGGGAAGAATCATTGATGGTTTGCTCGGATAAAGAGGCTCATTTGTGATAGACACAGTGTTTTATTACAATAACAAATATAAATATTATGGCATAAAATGTTCTGATTGGATGGATTATTGTACAGGAATAATGTTGCATTTGAATTTGCTGCGTTGTTCAAATCTAGAAATTTCACTTATCAAAGTTAAGATGAAATTCTCACAAAAATAATTCTCAGCATTCAGTCTTACTGGAAAAAAAAGTTTAATTTGTTTGAGTACATAAGAACAAGACAGCTAAACTAAAAGTTTTTTTTTTAGTGAATTGGTGAATTCATATCAAACATCGCCAAAATTGTAAAAAAAAATTATAGGGTCTCTTTTCTGATGCGTAGTTACAAATAGCTACACTTATTTTCCTTACATCAGATTAAAGTACTCACCAGTTCCGTTTCATATTTTCATCCTTGGCCGGTTATTCACCTCACATTGATGCCAGATTGAGAAATCAAAAAACAAGCATAACCGCAAGCAAAACAATGACGAGCATAAGGACATTGAAGTGGATGCAAACTAATGACAAAAATAATTAAACAAACAAAAGGACAAATAAAAAACAGGAATGACGATAAAGACAAAAAAATAAAAAAAATGAAGCCAACAAACAAAATAAAAACGACAAAAATGTATTACGACAATAAAATCCACAAATAAAAGAAAAAGACAGAGGAGGAGTTGGATCACACTCAGCAGAAGACCACCAACATGATTACAGTGTTGTAAAAATCTTGCATCTCCATCTTTATCTAGAAAAATGCCTATAGTGGCAAAAAGCTTTTGAAAAACAACTTAATCAGCCAAAATTCACATAATAAAGTAGCACCTTAATTTGGGGAAAAGGCAGCAAAAAACAACAACAACAACAACAAAGGATAAACAAAGTCGCCGTCTTGAGTCTTGGTCTCGCAATAACAGCGAATCGACAGCTCATTTTTATTTGTATTTTTCCAGTTGAAAATGGAAGTGTTAATATTCTGAACCGTTCTGGGTTTTTTGTTTATCCTTGCTGCTTTTTTAGCAGCCTTTTCCCCAAAATAAGTTGTTATTTTATTTCAAAATGTTTTTGTTTTTTTACCAAAAAATTGTTAATTTCAAATGAAAACAATCGTGTAAATCTCATTACTATCAATAATTTGGTGCTTTGCAAAGCAAAATAGAAGTTGCACAGTTCTGAAAATACTGTAATTGCACTAGCACCCTTTTGCTGAATGCGACCCAGTTGTTCGGTGTACTCCTCATTTCTAGATAGGTGGATTTCAAGTTTTGATTTCCATGCAGATTAGTTATTTATTATTATTATTATTGTCTATGTGAAAAACAGAGATAAATAATAGCTGCTCTCTTTCCTTCACTTTAAGTCAACAGTTGGGTGTTAGAAATCAAAACTATGATCTTGAAAGTATGCAGGTTTCCACAATTACTTCATTTTTTGAACCTCCAACTATCCCTCATTGTTTATAATTTTCCATGACTCCAAAATTTCAGAATTCCTTTACTTTCTCAGACTGTTCCCTGATCTTCGATCAAAACTTCCACTTGGATTTTTTTCTTTGGATAATACTGACTTTTGCTGAACTATGGACACAATCTGCACTTTTAGAGATTCAAATTAAGGAGAAAGGCACTCAAAAGTTGATCACGGTCTCTCGAATGGCACTAGCTGAAGATGCTGAGTACTACTTAGAAGATTCCCCAACTTATTCCCACAGCCAAAAACCCTGGTATGGAATTATCTTATTTCCTTCCATAAATCTAGCAATAGGTGTAATTTCAAGCATGGAAGCATGTGTCAATGATGTAAATTGTGCATTTATTCAATTTTAACAGACTAAAATGGAAAACAAATATGGGACACGTTGAAAGTATCTAAATTGAAATTCATTAAATAATGGAGAAGAAACCTTCAAGCATGATGTCTTACATCTCCACACAAACTGAAACACCCTTTCTTTCCCTCCGAATGAGACGTGACTTAGAGTCTAACATAATTTACAGACTCTAAATTAGAACCCTGAATCATGAAATGAGCATTTCTGTTCGGAGCAAACAAATATCAGAGGGGAACATTAAAAAAGCAGTGTAAAAAATGACATGGCTGAGGAATTTCTACTTCCTGATAAAAGTCAAATTTTCGTCCATGCAACTGCTAGCCCCTAACCATTCAGTTTGACAGTAAAACAAAACAAAGATGAGAATTCAAACAAAAAGAATAAAATACTTACGAGACATAGTATCTTTCCTACTCATTTGAACACCTATTAAAGACTCTATGGGCATTTCCGTCCGAGGAACACTAACAGCATGGGGAGGAAGATAAATTTTTTCTAACAGTCCAAAGTTACACTCTTCTGATATGCTCTTCTTGCAACCAGCATGACACTGAAAAAGATAAAAAATATTCATTGAGCTCTTATTGAAGGGCATTAATTATTACCTACACTGTGGTTATCTCCCACAAGTAAATGCTGTGATCAAGTCCTGAAGGCTTTGAGGCTTTGGCTTTGAGAAAATGAACACCCTAATTGATTGATACAAAAAATATTGCTTTTGACAACAATGAAAGGTAGAATCCAATTAATGGTTACAACCAGTTTTCATTAAACCAAATTGGATGGAAGAATGTAAGGGACTTAATTTTAAAAAATCCGAAGACATCTCAGTGTATCTTGTTGCTGAAGCTTACATCCAAATTGCATTAAAATTATTGGTCGCTTTCAATTAGTGCTTTCGCAGCACTGGAAAGTTTAATATTTACTATGATTTTCTTTAGAGATATAAAAATATCTAAAAAGTTGAAAAATTCAATAAATCAATGATTTGGGAACTTTAAAAACTTATTATAAAAAACTTGGAGCATCCCCTCACCTGTATTAATCTATTATACACATTTTGATGGGTCCATTAATACAGGTGAGGGGAAGCTCTGAGTTTTTTAAAATAAGTTTTTAGGGTTAAACAAAAACTTTTCCTGTTTTAAAATTTCCGCCCTTTTTCCTAGTTATTTTGGAACTGACAGTAATTTTTTTAAGTTCTTATAAATGTATCATTTTGCTTTCAATATCTCCCATCACTGTTGAGAATTGTATATTTCCTGAGCCTATCAACAGGGTAAGTCGGCAATCACATAACTCGGTTTGCGACATCGCAGACTTCCTGTCATACTTTATTTTTTAAACGGAAAACTACTCAAGGGCAGTTCTTTAAAACTACCGTGATTTTTCTTCTCTGTGCGAAGAAAATTCTGCAAAAACTTCAAGGAATGATATCATTTTGTTCTCTTTTAAAAAAGTAACATAGAGGCGGAGATTTTCAGACACCGCAAACGAGATATGTGATTGCTGACTTACATCGTCGTTATGCTGTTTAATTGAGTAAAAAGCTAATTTTCTATACGAGGTAACAAATGAAACTAAAAGGTGAATACTCACGGTGATCCCGCACCATTCACAACGGTAACCAGCTAAACATTCGGCAGACCAACAAGTTTTCTTACAAATAGCACATTTAGAATTGCTTGGTAGGTTTCCTTCTCGCCAGTGATGTTGATGCTTCACGAGTTGCAACTCGACGCCAGGCAAATAAGTGGCACTCTCTCTACAATCGGAGACCGCTAGATCCTGGCACTCAGCATGGACGTAATACTCACAAACTGAAAAATAGTTGACAAGGTGTTTTAAATCATAGTAACACTGGCATATACTGCAATGGAGCTAAAGTAATTAGAGAAATACGATGTATTAGCCTATTCAACGATATAATGCAAAAAAATGTCACATAGTTTTTTTCTTACAGAACAAAAAAAAATAATGAACAATGAATCGTAATCTAACTATATTGTTTTTAGTTCCATTTAACTGCAAGCTGTCGTTAGGACAGTAATTCAGAGACCACTGCTTGCCACTGCTTTACTTTCCAATGAGGATAATAGCTTGAATGAAGGGGGTAGGAAAATTTAGCTGACATTGTGATAGCAAGACTGAAAAAATAAAATTCTGACTGGATTGCATTTTGCAATAAAAGTAAAACTGATATCATTGCAATGTTGCTAAGATTCTTTCTCTCAGCAGGGAGTAACTGAACTAAAGGTAGATAAAAAACGAAATTTGCAGCATAATTTTTCAACTTAGTAAAAAATTCTTTAGGGTGCGAGCTAAAACTATTTCAATTGCCAAATCTTTTTCTGCAAGGTAGAGGAGAAAGTTGCACTACTATAGCAGCATTGCAGCACTAAAATACCCTGGTAAAAATTGGCGATAAGAGCTGCGTTTCAAAATACCATAGGAATTCTTATAGCCGCCTAAAGAAGGCTACAGAAAATCATATAGCTGGCTGTAGAATGTGGAGAAAATCATACGGCCGGGCTATACGAAGCGATACATTATGCAGCCGGGCTATGGTTCCTATCGCCGGGCTTTACACTTTATCGCCTGGCTGTTGCTTTTTCGCCATCAATTATAAAAGGCTATAAGAAATTGTGTAGAAATTCGTGTGCTTTGGAAATCATTAAGTTTGATACGGAACCACCTTAATATTGACAAAACAAACATTATATTTTCCTTTAATACGTATTTTTTTTCATCAATTAAAATGATAATGATCGATACAGGATGTGCAAACATTTCAAAATCATGAGTTGAATAACGCTGACTCAGCCAGATTAAATATTAGAGCCTAACACAAAGCGGAGCGGCGAGGCGACGCACTGGCGCCTACAAACCTAACAGGGATACTTCACGCATTGCGCAACGCGTGAAGTATCCCTGTTAGGTTTTTAGGCGCCAATGCGTGTTCCGCGCTTGCTGCCCGCCTGCCACGGCGCTTGAAGCAATTATTTCACACCAGAGGTATTGCACAGTATCATGCGAAACTGAAGGCGCTCTAATATATTAGTAATGGCAGGCATCCATCAAAAGTACGGAGCTTTCCTCGCAAAATAAATCAAGATACTACGGCTCAAAAAGAGTGCAGTATTCCAAAAACTCACTAAGTCCTAGCATCCGTAATTAGTAACGTTTAGCATACACTTCATCGCCTGGCTGTTGCTTAATCGCCATCGGCTGCAGAGCATCTATCATATTGCAGTCAACTATATACGTTTTGGGTTTTTTTTGGGTTTACAGCCGGTTGTAGGTCTATGGTATTTTGGAACACAGATTCTACTGCCAGTTTTTACCAGGGTAGGAAAAAAAGTAGAAAGAAATGATGGAATATTCACCTTCGCAGTGTGTTCCCACGTTGCCGTCTTCCATCCGCTTCCGACAGACGTTGCAAAATTTTCGTTTATGCTTGTGAGCATTTTGATGAGTGGCGTCGGACCACCTGTGGGCGACAGGATTCTACCATGAAAAGAAAGAGAAAAAAAACCAGGTTAATTAGTATTCTTCAATGGTGCTATTCGCTAATTTGCTAAAAATGAATCATTCCTCGATAGGAATTAAAAGGGCGAAAATAAATCAAGATTAGACGGTGAGTGCATGATTAAGAAATGACACGTTCACGCGTCAAAAACAAATTTTTCGCCTTCATTTTCGGTCGATACCAAACATCTACTTAGACGCCCGAATAGTTGTATATGATATCATGAGTATGACGAAGCTCAACGTGAGCTAAACTATTGCTGTTGATGGGACAAATAGATTCAAATTCATAGAAGGTGCACGCTAGACGTTATCGAGAATATGCTATTCAGATCTAGTTTTTGAGGGACAAGTATTTTTTCCCTTACATTATTCTCTTCAACTCGAAAATTATCGCACTATTGGAGGAATGATCCTTCCGCACTGAAATCTCAATTCAAAAAACCTGAGAAAAGATCGTGATACGATCTCCCACCCAACATACGGAGGAAAGTACAAATTTCAAACTGCGAAAATCGACAGAAACAGAACATACTTCTTATTTTATTCCACGTCTCTAATTCAGGATACAAGCGCTTACGTTTCTCGAAAACAAGGGAGCGTTCATAAATTACCTTACGCACTTTTCCGGAATTCTTGCTCCCCTCGTAACGCAGCGTAACGCATGCTTCCCCCCCCCCCAAGCGTTACTTAATCAGGGTGTTCAGTATTTTTTAATTTTGAAAAATCCTGATATTTTCCTGATTTTTCCTGATATTTTATAAAAAAATTCCTGATTTTTTCATTTTGAAAATTCCTGATATTTTCCTGATTTTTCAACAAAGACGGCGCGACGACTCCTGGCACGGTAGGCAAAAAGCAGTGAGACAACTCCGCTGAGGACATTCGCCTAAGAAAAATTCCTGATAAAACGTCCAATTTTTCAGATTTTCCTGATATTTTCCTGATCGGCCAAGTTTCCTGATATTTTCCAGTTTTTCCGGTTTTCCCTGATGCTAGACACCCTGTTAATTAATGAACGCTCCCCAACTCGGTTCAACTGACATTGGGAAGTAGGTTATTGAGGTTTGATTCGACCCGTTCAATGGACGGGATCAACAGGGCGAATAAAATTCGAGCACCCGGGCATGAGTTCCATCTCGAGTCCTGATCTTGTTTCCAATCCAATATCCAGATCGGTCGTTATTTACATGTTAGCGTTGGTTGAGCTGTCGCTTGTCGGAGCGTCGGCTCCGAGCAACTGGTGAGCGAGCGTTGACTTATCGTTTTTGCAACGGGTCATCTTGATACGTCACAGTTGACAGGTCTCACTCCTGTGTTTAAAATATTGGATCGCCGCGGGTGGTATCCCATTGTGGAAACGTTACCGCTTCGTTCCATTGAGCAATCGAGAGCTTTTCCGCTGGATTGAGCGTTGCCGATTGGGCTAAAGTTCACTACGGGTAACTGCTATTTCAGGCTAATCCAATAATCCATAGAGGCACCTGCGGGTCGATTGTTGAATCGTTATCGAATGCTTCTGATCGATAAATCCCTATCTTAACAATGCTATAAATCGATCAAGGTCATTCGATAACGATTCAACAATCAAGGAGCTGCGGGTCGATTGTTGAATCGTTATCGAATGCTTCTGATCGATAAATCCCTATCTTAACAATGCTATATATCGATCAAGGTCATTCGATAACGATTCAACAATCAAGGAGCTGGTACCTATCCGTTGGACCGCGTTAAACAAAAAGGGACTAAGCCACATCAGCTATTAGCAAATTTAGTTGGGTAATTTAATTTGTTACATGAAAACGATTGTGCGGATTTCTATATGCAAACAGTGAATTTTCTGCATAGTGCGAGGCAAATTCCCTAAAATTAGTTCCACCCATGTCTGAGCTGTTGGCTGACAACGAGTCAGAGATGTATTCAAGTTGAAGCGTTAGTTGCGAATTATGAATAATATACGTGGAATGACGAAGTTATAACTAAGTACAGTTCCCAGTAAACGCCAAAAACCGAGATATTATTACTTTTTTTCATATTTTGCGTGAATTTTTTATTTTTTCTATCACGGGACTCGTGTGGTTTTTCCTTTTATTTTCTTTTTTTCTCCTTCAAAATACCGCATTCCATAAATTTCCATGTTATTTTCATTAATTTTGTGCGCGCGTATGAAAATAAGTATAAGAAATAATTAGCTAGAAGAAGAAAACTATAGTGAAGAATTGAAAATCAACGTTACCAAAATTTTCAATTTTTGACTATTCCTTGGAAGTTAGAAAGGAAGCAATAAAAATAGGTAGATAGATGAAAAAATCTTAGGATGGAAACGAAGTGGAAGAATCCGTGGAATACAATTCGGTGGAAAATGATGTGATGCACTGTGCTTAACAGATGACAGATACTCCTAGACCACGAGTGTGGAGTTGGGTCAGTTTCCGAACATACAACTATTCGAACTCCTATGTAGGTTTGTGGTATCACACGGAAATGAAGGCGAAATATGTGACTCGCTGACAAGCGAGAGTACCTGCGTACTCACAGCGCGGCGTGCGGCGGTTGTGATCGGGGACAAATCGACACGCTCCACCGGCCTCTTGAACAGGTGAAAACTTTAACTTCAGGCTGGTCAATCGACCCTTTGAAACCACCCTCTGCCTCTTGTCGACTGCCGAGAAGTCCCTTCGAACCTATTTTTTACACGGTTATAGAAGGAGCTTCAGAATGGAAAAAACATTACCCTGAGCAGTCCGAAATGTGCTTCTTTCGTTACATTTGTCCGTAAAAAAATTGCAGAAACATGCTTCACAGGTTTGATTATTAAAATTGATAGACGAAGTTATAGCAAAAAGGAAAATGGAGTGATTCTGTTGGTTGAAACGGGTTGTTGTTATAGACTAAGGTTGAAAATAATGGGCTGACTATAGAAAAAAGAAAAATAGAGTGATTCTGTTGGTTGAAACGGGTTGTTGTTACAGACTGAGGTGGAAAATAATGGGCTGACTATAGAAAAAAGGAAAATAGAGTGATTCTGTTGGTTGAAACGGGTTGTTGTTACAGAATAAGGTGGAAAATAATGGGCTGACTTTATCTAAGCTCCCTCGTATGTTGCCGATGCTTGCTAGTTTATTATTTAGCTTTGTTTACTGCAATCACTCGCTTCCACCAATCTCTCTATTTTCCCTTTGTCTACTTCGTCTACCGTTTTGTCTACTGATTTTAATAATTAGCCCCCTGGTTTGGCGAGCCCCGATTTCTTTGATGGGTCGTTTTCATCAAGAGAACCAATATTACCAGCACTTGGATTCATTTTAAGGCTCCCTCCTTAACCGTCTGAAGATTCCTTAACAAATGAGCCAATGCTTGGTAAACTTGTCAGGCGCATTTCCTAACAGATCCTGCAGATCCTGCAGATCCTGCAGATCAACAGCCGAGCCGACAAGATGTAAAAGGGAGTATTTCTGCACAAAACAGCATGTTCAGCCCCAGAAATTACATTAATAATGGGGAATATCTCTATTTTTCTTTTATCTTGCGGCATAGCTAAGCTTCTGAATGGATGATTTAAGGATCATTAGGTAAAATTAAACACATTTTTTTTGCACTAGATTTTGTCCTTAGAATGCCTAATACGTGTGTACTGAGTATGTGTTCTCGCTGTGAAATGATGGAGCTTATGAGAATGATGGCTTCTTCTCCATTTTAAGCAGTAGCGTTTTGTGCTTAGCGATGAATCGATTGAGGAAACCTAATGGAAAGGATTGATTTTTTGGTGTTCGTAAGGAACATCTTAATAATCGATGCTCACTAATTCTGAAAAAGACTTTTGTCAGAATCTCACGTGGAAATCTCAAGTTCAAAATTGCTGACTTATGACGTATCTTTTCAATCTGAGGACATTCTGGCCACCAATCATAACTTGTATGCTTACACTTTCTTCTCCCTTAGTTTAAATGAGAAACAAATCTAGGTGCACATGGACTCAGAAATTTTTCCACATGGCTGCGCCTAGTGTTAGATTGCGATCTCGGGAGATCAACCAACGTGCGGACTACATTTTGAAGTAATAAGGAACTGATGTTTCCGGCTCATTCGCACAAGCACCTATCTGCATATTGAAAACAATGGCAAATACATTGTTTCTAAAATGCGCCAGAAATAGTAATGCCTTATTGCAAAATGTAGTCCAAATGATAATCACGAGTGGGGTATACTTTGAGACACCGCAAGGAATTGAGTACTGTTTTATAAAAGAAACGACAATTTCATTTCAAAAGTGAGTGAAGGCAGGTAGAAAACATGGACCGTGTAAATTTTATAATCTGTGGAGGGATGTAAAATTTACCCCTGAGAGCGCGATATTATCTTTGCAACTCTAAAAAAAAAAACATATAAAAAATACGGACGCTAGTCCAACGATAAGTCGGAAAATAGTTAATAATTGATGTGGGACAGTTCATGGAGGAAAACACGAGTGGGTTGAGAATTAAATATACTTGAAATGTTATCTACTCACTTTAATTAAATTGGCAGCTATACTAGAACAAGGGGAAACGACAACTTTGTAACACCGCTCGTGCACGACGAAATTGCAGACTGAAACAGAGAAGCAATAAAATTAAAATTAATAAGTATATTCAAAATGAGTATTTCTGTCTTTAACAGAATAAGCACAATGACTGTGAAACCGAGACAAAATGTTGCCTCGAATGTTTATTTCTTCCTACAGATGATGGATGATTTCTACTTATTTTCAAAAATTGTTCAGAAGAAAACTTTAAAAATCAGCCATTCCTGCATCGTCCTCAGCGGAGGTCATCTGAAGAGGAATTTCATCTTGAGAAATTTTTTTCTGGAGCGCTTTCTGAATCCTTGAAAAAAAGAATAGCGTGACTTCATAGATCCTTCACGGAAATTCCATTTAAGTTTTTCCTAACATTACTGCTATGAAACATTTTCCCGTGAAAGTTTCGGTGAATTTTTTTCATGTCTCGAAGAAAATGACTTAACTGAAATTTTCACAAGAAATGAGAAGCAGTCGATTTACAACTGAGTGAATAAGAAGTCAGGGGATCCTGAAAGATCACAACGAAATCACACGACTCTCCTTTGAAGGACTCATTCAATTCAACTCCCGAGTATTTTGAGAATCGTCGGGCTTCCACGGTCAGAATATGGAGGACTCAATGAGGGATCCGTCCAGATAAATCTAAGTTTAGCTAGGAATGCGCTGCGGTTTCAGGAAATCGTAAGTCTCAGGTAATTATCTCGATGACCCGATAATGTTCGCCTCTGTTTGTTCGATGGAATATTGACCTCTAAATTTAGTTACGCTCTGTATCCGCGCCTGATTTGCATGCTGGGCGATTACTGGAATGCAGTTCAGATGTGTTGGAGAGTTCAAGTGAATATCGGGATTGATTCTCTCATCGAGCAAGGGTTTTCCTTCATTACGACCTCGAGGGCAGTTCAAGTGAGCTACTTAAACGGGGGTAGAGGGGGTTTGAGCTTGCCTTACGAAAGTTCAAAGCTCGACGTGAATGATTGAACACGATAGTCAACCTTTGGATACTTCCAACTGAAGTTGAGATTCCAAAATAAATTTTTTGGGAATCCAGCCCCAAGCGATCCCAACACGGTAATGCATTGGGGTTAAGTTCCAGGTCCCGTCCAAGTGTTACAAGAGAAATTTTGGTAAACTTTTCGATTCTGTTTCTCTCCCTTGTAAGGCAACCTCTCCTCTCACCCACTAGCCTAATCTCATTTCAGCTTGAATTTTTCCATTTTCTTCATGGTTTTTCTTTAGGTCGGAACTGTGTGTAAAATAACAAATAAGAAATGTCAATTTTCATGCATTTCCATTCATACTAATCGTCACAATGAAGCAAAGAAGAGGATTTTGGACCAACACTGTGAGAAGCTGTAATTCTAGGGATTCTAGGAACAACGGGCTTGACAGCTTCATCATGGATTGCACTGAAAAAAAATTCTCGGCGTTTTCACCAAGGTCCGTTGGTACCTTTACCATCTCATTATTTTTACCAATTATAGGTAATTTTACCAAGACAGACTGGTAAGCTTACCTAAAAACCGGTATTTCTACTGTTTTTTCCAGGTAAGAATACCACTTTTATTGGAAATCAATTCCCGGTAACTTTGCCATTTTATCTCGGTGATTCTACCACAGTCGATAAAAAATATTGGCGTTTTTACCAAGATCCAGTAAAATTACCGAGAAAATTCAATAATTTTACCGAGATTTCTCGGTAAAATTACCAATTCCATAAATGGTAATTTTACCAAGAAAAAACTGGGATCAAATAGAACCCTGAATTCTTGGTAATTTTATCCTTTTCTTGGTAAATACACAGAGATTTTTTTTTCAGTATGTGCCCTCGAGTACGGGAGCTGGCTCTAGAGGGCACTTGGGCCGGGTCCCTGGGAACGAGTCGGGGGTCGGGTGCATGAATGGCGAATGCTCGATTCGGCTCTTCGTCAGCCGAGCGACAGGGACAGGAGCCGAGCCCGGAGCGAGTCAAGTTTATTCAATAACAGTCGATAAGTTTTCATTCATGGCGAGCCGCTCAACCGCTGAGCCGCTTCGGGGAAAACTGGTGCTTCGCGGCCACGTTGCCAGATTCCGCCATTTAATGCGGATATGTTAGATGGGTTCGAATGTAGGAAAGCTCTGATTTTTAGCACTACCTGGCAACGATGCTTCGTGGCTGCGGCCGCGGGGCGATTCTTTCCGATGCGGGACCGCGGTCGCCGCGGCGCGGACGCAACCCGCAACGCTAGGCCCGTTGATTGTTACGGCTCCGACGAGCGCAGCTGCCGTTTCGTCCCGTTAAAAAAAAAAAAAAAAAAAAAAACCCGAAGTGAAATGACCTGAGGAAAATTGTGTGCTCTCAAATCGTCTAATACATGACACTTTTTTCTAAAACACACAGAACAATTCGACCTGGAATTTCTTTGTAACTTGAAATGACACTAAGTGCCATGAAAAAAAAGGGGGGGGGATCCAGGTCGAGCTGTTAGGTATATTTGAGAAAAAAGTGGCATGTATTACCCATCAATCGCCTCAGAGAAATCTGGAAAATTGATTCCTAAAATCTCCGACATACTTTCTACTTGTTTTCGAGATATTTCGGATTACAAATGAACTCCTTGTTCTTTTCCAAAAGGGCCCCAGAAAGTGGGCATTGACAATGAACCCCTTGTTCTTTTCCATGAGGGCCCCCGAAACTGGGCACCAGGCGGATTGGCCAAACAGAGATGACTCGTAAAAGTATGGGTTGCCATTCGGCCCGAGATTTAAATTGCGGCTCTTGATTTCTCTCAGGGGATTTTTAAGGAGAAACCAATACAAAAGCGATCGAAGACAACATATTTTAGAGACTCAGCACTATCAGAATGTAATCGAGCAGAGTAACAATTAAGTTCGGAGGTCAACGCTACTTTTCGCTTGATGATAATTGATGAGAAACATGTCGATCATAAAGTTCAACCTAAAATGGCAACCTTGATCTATGCAATCACCCTATGCAGATATGCGATTTGATAAATGAGCAAGACGGGATAGAAGTTCTCTCTTGCGTAGTATTGGACCATATTATAATATGGTCCAAATAATGCAGCGTCCGCTTTGGTCCAAATTTGGGCTTTCCTTCCAAATTATCGTTGCTCAAGCATTTGCAATTTAATGTATAGATGAGCTTCGAGACATCTCAGATGCAGAGCCCTCGCCGCTCTCCAGTGTAATACTGCCGTGTTATGGAAAAACGCCGCATGAACATTCCAATGTTGCCAAATTCCTCCTCAGAATATATTAATTTTTGAGAAAAGTTACGAATATTTTTCATCAAAATTTTCAGACACTTCAGATCCATTTACGCGGCAAATTTACTGAGAAATCAGGAGAAATATGTTCAGAAATATACCCAAAAATTTTGATTCATCGAAGGAAATTGGTCAACGTCTGAGGGTTCATACGGCGTTTCTCCTTAGCATGTCAATACACTAGATTGTTTCATCGAATTCAGGCCCGATTGTTGTCAAGGCGCTTTCTGCGTGCAAGTGACATGAATGGACCTGTGGTCACTTGGCGTGAACTATGATCGGAACAAGACCCAGTTGCCATAGACTGGGTTGCAGATTTCAGCGAGCTGATTATAGAAATTGATAGACAAAGCGATAGACAAGGAGACTTAGGGAGTATGGAGCAATCCCCTTGTTTGAAATGGGTGGTTCCTATAGACTATAGAAAATCATGGACTATCTCTAAGTCCCTCCGAATGTTGCCGTTCGCTAGTCTATTACTTAGCTCCTTTGTCTATTTCAACCACCCACTTCCACCAATAGGATCCCTTTTGTATTTTCTGTCAATTGCTTTGATTATCAATTTCAATAATCGGCCCGTAGGTTGCGACACTAATTTCTTGAATATGTGGTTATGACCATCTCTTTATCTCTATCAGTGGCCGGTCGTGAGGGATCGATTATCGATATTTCCCCATTAGAAGCTACGGTAAAAGATCGATCATTTGTTGCGAACACCGTGTTTATCGATCCTTCTCCATAGGTTTAAATGACAGATCAATCAATACATCGCAAAGCACGCCACGCAACTGATCTCTATCCAATTGGCACAGGGAAGTTATGTCGCTTTCAGCTACAATATGTTTCAGAGATCCCACACTTCTTATACCTACATCTTCTCTTGAGTTTTCTAGACCTAACAGCGCTAATGTTTTCTAGATTACAAATTTTAAGATTTTTCAAATTGATTGTCTTTTACATAAAATTCCTCAACTTTCCCTGACCTGATAAAATTCCCTAATAATCCCTGGTTTTCCCGATCTGTAGACACCCTGCCGGCTTTAAAATCCGCATGAAAAAAACTTGGAGGTCTCTATAGATTTCGAAATTGATCGTCTTTTTCATGAATTTCCCTGACTTTCCCCTGATTCCCATGATTTTATGACCACCTTTTACAATTTTTCAAATTGACAGTCTTTTTCATAAACCTAACAATCCCCGGGTTTTTCCGATCTATGGACACCCTATCGACTTTAAAATCCGCAAGAAATTTAAAACTTGGAGATCCCTACAGTTTTCTAGACCTGACAGCGCTAATACTTTTCCAGATTTCAAATTTTAGGTTTCTCAAATTGATAGATTTCTCTGACAACCCTAGTTTTCCGGATCTATGGCCACCCTTTGGGCTTTAAAATCCGCAAGAAATTTAAAACTTGGAGATCCCTACAGTTCCCTAGACCTGACAGCGCTAATGTTTTTCCTGATTTCAAATTTTAGGTTTCTCAAATCGATAGATTTTTCTAACAACCCCAGTTTTCCCGACCTATGGCCTTCCTTTGGGCTTTAAAATCCGGATGAAATTTAAAAGCGGGAGGGCGGACCCGGAGCTGGGCGGAACGGCGGAGCGAGGTCCTTGACTCGCGTCGGCGTCGTCGGTGCGGCGTCGGAGCTAGAGCCCCTCTGGCTACGGCCGAGGTCGCCGGTTCGGGGGCGGCAGCGGCGAAAATCAGGGCGCCGCCCCCACCGCCGGGGGAAATCTGGCGACGCTCACTGACGTC